TCTCAGCTGTTAACCCATATATAATCGTGTTTGAACACAGCAGCAAACCCCACTATAAGAGCGGGCATCAGGTGGTATGTGCACTCATCAGGCAAATGAGGTCTAGTCACTCCATTACCATTAATTACAGTTTTAGTGATCTGAAATTGAGGTAGCTCATGAAACAGAATTTCTCATGAAAAACTAGTTCATAGACAGATTACCTTGAGTGAACCCTCAGATTTTTTGAGCTCCATTCCTTCTCCAAGTAGAGGAATTCCAGGATGACCTTTGCCATCATTAGAGAAATAAATATTTATTAGAGGTTGTATGGAGCTGCTTTAGAGAAATCAGTTACTGGTGGTTAGCAGAGAGGATGCTGAGGTTCTAACTTGGTTAGTTAAGGAATGAGAGTTAGCCCTCTAAACTTTCAAAATAGTCAAATTCCAAAAGAGTTGTGTTTTCTCTATTTATTTTATTTTGATTGATACCTGTCTCCTTAGTCAAATGTTCCTTGTGCACAGTAATTTTGCAGTTCTTCAGAACTAGAGATTTTAGTTTTGTTGTTGTTGTGGCCGTTATTCACCCTGGCTGAAGTTTTGGAAAATCCTGGTATTTTATCTCCTGTCAGAATCAACATCTGGCAAGAACCAAGCATATGAAGTCTTTCAAATATTTGCTCTGAGAAATGCAGCTGTGATACTATACCTACAGCTCTGCATTGCTCTTCTGAAACCTGGCAGGAAATAAAAAGAAAAAAAAAAGAGAGAAAAGAAGCTGTTTAAAATCATATGACAGGTTATTATTTTGTTTAATGTGAAATGTTCATCTGACAAGCTTATTGAACTTGATTTGTGTACCGAAGCCTTCTGCAAATCTACAGTCTATCTGATTTCCCTTCCCCCTCTTCTTCTCCCCGCTCTGCCACTAGCACTGACATCAACCATTGTGCCATATGAGGGGAAAAAAAAGGTACCTGGAGTATTCAAGTGATTTAACCAGTTTGATTTATGTTAATGGTACAGAAGAGAATATTTTTTGGTCCTCAAAAACATAACAGGCAATTGATGTGCCATATTGCAGTATGGTTTTAGCCATCAACATGTCAAGATTTAGTTTTGCTGTTAACATTTTACGATTTAGAAGGCTATAAGAATATGTGCAGTGTAGCAACAACTCAGGCATCATTCCCCCAGCTATATTTATAGGGCTTTCATTTTTCCCTTTTATAGAGAAATTGAAAAAGAAAAAGGAAGGGAAAAAAGGCTGACATTTTCTGTCTTTCATTTTCTTCAGTCTGTCAGGTTTTGAGACTAGAGAGAAAGAAAACTGAGTACTAATGGTTTGTTTTCACATCGAAGTAGATTCAGGGCATAAGAATTCATATGTAGAATTTGTTGATTTCTTGCTAAACTAAAGATAACCTGTGCATAAGGTGCAGCTTCATTGCATTTATCCACTCCTATTTATCCCTACAGCTGAAAGCTGCATGTTTATCATGCTGTGGAGATGCTGATCTATATAAGCCAATTGTCTGAAAATCTGGAAGAACTGTGTGCAGTGTACATGGTCATAGAAACATTTATTTTCCTTCTAGACCTTCAATTCCCTCTATTTCTGCTGTGGAAAATCAATAAGATGTACTTCTTGGTGTTTAAGTGGGAAACTAATTTTTTCGTACTGGGAGAATGTCACAGTGGCTGGTGCTGCTAAAATAAGATCTAAATTCCTCTTTAGTGGGTATTTTACTTCCCCCAGGTTTTAAATTGATGATAACTGGATAAAAATTTTTGCTGACCATTTAGAACTAGCACTAAAAAGTAAATGGGACAAATGAAAAACTTACCTACTGAAATTTCTGTGCTTAAACTTCCAACTTTAAAAAGCAACTTGAATCATGGGTGATAGGAGACAGTACAAATTGTATGAGTTTTCAAACTTCTTTCCATGTCCATTTCAAATCATCAGACTCATTGCCAAGAAGGTATTGAAATTCTCTGTGAAGATCTAATTAATGCCTATTTTCCCCAGTTGCTCTGGGTAATGAAGAAATGCCTAGTATTTGGGACATTACCCCAAGAAATTTGTCTTCCTAAAGTGTATATTCCCACTACATGTTTTATCAGGGCATTCTGCTTGTCATGTCAACAGTATGAAGAATGACATACACACTTATTTGTGCCTCATCTGTTTCACAGTAAGCAGAGTATATTGGAAAAATAATTAAAATGTATTTTAAAAATTCTTTTATTACTTTCTGTCTTAAAATTTCATAAGCAATTTAACATTTTCAAACATAACAGCTTAAAAAGTTAAACAGCATCAAAGTTTTTCTCATAGCTTCCACTTTTGATATTCCAGAGCTCAGTTTGGCATGCACTTATCTTCATTTATCTTTATTTTACTATGACTACCTTAAATTGCATATGGTTTCAGAGAACAAGTCTTTCTTGCTTCAAACACTGATGATTGTTGTGTCATATTTCTTTTGTGTGAAAATCTAGGGCCTGGAGCTATTGACTACAAGAGAAAGATCTGGACAGGCTCCAGTGAGTCTCTTCACAATCTTTCTCTTTCCCTTTTAATGTGAGCTGTTATCCAGCTGAGCTTCTTTGGTGAATTACTGAGAAATCAGGAAAAGATACAGAAGTCTGTTCCTACATCTGTGAAAAAAAAAAAACCAAACAAACAGTGCAGCAATTATCAGAATTATCAGATCTTTGGTCTCTGGCCACGTTTAAACCGTGGAACCCCCAAAAGCTGCCAGTTCCAGAGGCATGACATCCAAACTAAATGGGACTTTGATGCGTGCTACTTCTTCACTTCTGTTTCCCCATTCTGTGATTTTGGTATAAGTCAAAAAGCATGAGCCAGAGGAATGGCCAGGAGAAAACAACTTTCAGATACTGCCAGAGAGCAATTGTTCCCTAGGTGTTAATCCTCCACAGGTTTTACCTGCTGAGGCTATTGCAAAGATGAATTATTTGCCTTTGAGCTCCTATGTGGTGACAGCAATATCACAAAGAATTCTATTGAGAAATAAATATTTTTCTGCTCAGTGAAGAGACTATGGAATAAATAGGGTCAGAACTACACAATAAACAGGAAGATAAAAAGAAATATTGATTATTTGCTCATGAAGAGAGAGCTAGTCATCTTGTGCATTGTGTTGAAAAATACTGGGTAATTACCTAATTAAAGATTGTATCAGCAACACACATAAACAGCACAGCTGAGTGAATCATGAACAGGCAAAATTCTGATGTCAAAGCAGATAAGTATGAAAATGCTATAAACTCTGTGAGGATTTTGCTATTGAAATTGATTTTGTATGGAAGATGTTCAGCTCCCACAGTGAGGGACTTTGATTTAGTATGTAAAGTAGAAGAAAATTTCCAGCATTTTTTATTATTTAACTTGCTACCCTTAAAGTTCTTTGAATATAGTAGTATCTATTAAATGCAGAAGAGTGTATGAGATCTTTAATTTAAAAAATAATTTGTATGGGGAAAGGTGAAGTAGGCCATGCAGATCTTTTTAATAGAACATCTAACGCCAGCAAACTTTTTTTTAAAGAGGATTCCTTTTCCTTCAAAAAACCGGAGCTTTGTAGTTATTTAACATTCAGGTTTACTGTAGAGAAACTGATTTACCTTGATTCAATTTGTAATGAAAGAGGGAAATTGTACAGGGATAAAACAATCTATTCCACAGTTCTCAACTGAACTGATGCTTAGGTTTAAAAGGCAAGAATTTTAGTTGGTTGATAATTTTTTGAGTATATGTTGTGATAAGGCAGAGTTTTCATAATACTTTTTTTTTTTAAAAACCCTACAGAATGATTCAAACATGTCAGTCAAAATGGAGTTAGTAAAAAGTCTGAATGGACCTAGACGACATAATTGAGGTTACAATCATGTTATAGTGTCTTCTGAATATAACAAAAACCAATAATTTAAAAAAAAGGTAGATGCAGTAATTTCCAGAAGTCCTTATTAACAAAATATGTTATTCAGTATGGAAATCAGATTGTATGTTTTGACTTTATGCATGAGGTTTGGTACCCTTGGGTATTCCTTAAGGAGCAAGAGCATCTGATTTCTTCATTTGCAAGCCAGAAACTTGACAGCCACAGATGCAAAGTAGTCCAGCTTAAGGTGTGAAAGCTGTTCTGTGAAGCCGGAATCCAGGCAATTAAGCAGGTTTCCCTGCTCCCCAGGTAGACTGGTATTTAGCTAAATTGTCAGTACTGAATATGCTGCTCTAGGAGGAAAGGTGGACTGTGATAGACAGAAGACTGGAAGCATTTTTTGAGAAAAAAGATAAGACAAGCACCTAGGAATTGAGATTGCATATTGCAATAAATGCATTTTTGCCTTTGGTTCCTCAATATTTTCATCAAGATCCTTAGAAGCGTAAATGATACAAATAGACCAGAGTGCAAACTCTCAGCATATCACATAAAACAGAATCTAAACTGAGGCTGCTCCTGAGATATTATTTACCAGAGGTGCATGAGTAGTGCAGGGCAAACCCGTCTGCCTTAACTCACTTCCATATCACTCCAGCTTAATAAGCAAATGATTGCTCAGGTTAGTGGATGCTTTGACAATGGATTAATTTGTGTAAGACCTACATGCATAACTTCTGATTTTTGTAATCTGTTTGTTTTAAAAGTGTGTTAGGCATTCGTGACAGGAGCATTGAGAAGTTAACCTCAGTATGAGTCAGAACCTTCTGACAGCTCTTCATGTCCCAAACCCTTCTGCCTGCCTTTGGTGCTGGGTCTGAATGTGACTTACAATATGTTCCTCCCTACTCTGATGCATAAGAGAATGCTCTAATGAAAAGTCTGGTGGTGTTTTGCCAATGTAAAACAGATGTAGTGTGTGGAGTACCACTAATGAACTTAAGGCCTTGATTTTCTTACTGTCCAACTGAAACCTTTCCACTTACATTGCAAATGTAATACTGCACCTCATAACTTAGACCTAAGGCTGAGAGCACAACTGTTCTTACAGGGCTCCTGATCTCCTGAAGTCTTGATGCCTCTGAGTTAATGCACTGCCTTGTGAAAGGACTGCATGCTGGGGTTTAAGAGAAAAGCTTTCCTACATGCAGTGTCATCTACTGGTGGCAGCCCAGGTCTTGGACTGTATGACGCGTGAGTAGTGGGTTGTGCAGCAGACAGGCACAAAACTGGGAGTGGGAAGGGGAGCACATTTCCTGACCCTAACAGAGCATGTAATTCCTTTCTTATTCCAGCCTCCTGCGGCCAGTGGGGTGCTTGCATTCCTGAAACGAAACACTATGACAGTTCTGTACACCTGCTAACATCATCCCCAGTGACCTCCATAATGGAAGAGAAATTCAAGGTAAGAGCCTTCAAATTATTCACTGCAGGACAGCTGAGCAGTATGCATTTAGTTATTTGCCTGGTTCAGGTGTCTGGTTTAGTAGTAAGGCAAATGCAAGGCTCCCAATGCTAGTGGTTAAAAAGCCCTGAAGTCTGACTGCTTAAGTATCCATGTTTTCACTTGTCAGATTTTTGAGTAATATTAAAACCCACATCCAATAAAAAAAACTTGTAAAACCTGAAAAGCAAGTATCAGGAAATAAATAAATAAACTGATTAGCTGTATGATATGTAGCAGAGCGTAATCCGATCCTATTTTCCTATTTCGTATTCACTATATATTTATCTGGAGTCTACCCGCAAACCTTCTCTAAAATAGCCTGAGTCAATTCAGCCATGCAGGGGTCTACTGACAAGCCCATTCAGTTTCAAAAGAGATGAGATAACATTTTTAGATGTTAAGAGAAGTTTGAATAGAAATGGATCATTTAGCAAAGCACCTTCATCATTTTTATTGCAGTCTCTTCATGAGCACCATAGTGGGTCAGAGCTAGCATATAATTTTGCTGTTAGATTAAGGAGTTACTTTTTCTGAACGATATTAGAACAAAGTTTACTGCATCTAAGATTGTTTCAGTCATATATTTTACAATGTTTCTTCCTTTGAACCATATCTAACAAAGCTTCTGCTCTCTTACCCATACAGAACATTATTTTCTGGACATTGGTTCTGAGAGAGGACAAGGCAAACTGTAGACTGCCTTTTCAGCAAGCTTTATTTCTCTGCTGGGAATTCAGTAGGGAAGACAAAAACCTAATGGTTGTCACTGACAGTTTACCCAACCATTTTAATACCCAACCATTTTAAAGTGCATCACAAACAACTGTGCTCTCTTCATGAGCAGTATTCTTTTGCTGTGTGAAGTTCAGTGGACATTTGAAAGGATGTAACTTACATAATCTTTAAATAATTTTACAGCTATGATGAGTGAGGTTTGTGGTGATAGACAGGATTTATAGTAGTGGTTGATTTCTTATTATGAAAGAAAATGCAGTATGAGCCAGGAAAAAAGTGAGAGAAATCTCTCACAGTTTTCTTCTTCAACGTTTTGTTTCCTAGAGTGAAACCATTGATAATAGGGATCAGTGTAAATATGCACCATGAGGAGCAATAGCCATGGTGATTCACACTTATCCAAAAGGGCTACATCATCATGTCCTATGAATAAGAACATCCCTTGAACAAGAACAATCCAGCAACAAAGCTTGTTGTAGTAGAAAAGCCTGCAGTTTGTGATTAATAAGAAATAGGTTTAATAGCAATGTCTGAACTACTGGAAACCTGCAATAGCTCTTTGGAGAGTATAAAGTGGCATTGTTCCTCATAACTCTCTGTCGCTGCTGTAAGCCATCTGAGGTAGTGCTATTTTAACTTTTTTGTTGCTTGACATTTTCTTATTTTAATTGTGTAAACTCTGTGTTGGACTGAATTCGGGCATTAAGAGCCTCACCACCCCCCTCTTTTGATTGTTTCTTTTTAAAGCAAGAGGAATAAAATTAATTGCTTCTGATCCACCACAATGGTAATTACATAGTCCCAAGTGGGACCTGACCAAGGATGAACTGCTGCTTTTGCTCTCTGGCTGGAGACACTAGACAGGGATAATAGAGAAGCACTTGTGTTTCAGTGGGCTGGTTGTTCCCTGCAGCAGAGGATGATAGAAGTCTATTGCTGGACAATTGCACTGTGGCATTTGCAGGTTGCAACAGCATCCCACAAAGACTGAGAAGAAAAAAGTAATTTCCGTGGTTGTATATCTCACTTTGCTAAGTGTCTCTGTGAAAACTGTTGGCCTGCTACCTCTTTGCTCCTTGAATCTTCATTAGAACATACACTGTTATAACAAACGTAGCAAAATCATTAAAAACAGCTTGTACACTGCATGGGCCTAGAAGAGAAAAAGAACCAGTGATAAAAACAGTGCTAGGAATAGTTAGAAAATGCTGGCATTGCAAAGGAGCCACAATCATTGCTTTTAGATGTAGTTATCTATTTCTTTAAGAATCTTAAAGAGGAAAGTAATTAAAAGCATGAATGTTTTTCTAAAATAAAAATAAATAGATTATACCTTCAATTCTTTCTGTAGAGAGGACTAGAAAAGAAACTTTGACAGTAAGTAAAAGTGTTTTGCACTTCCATATGTCAGAAAGAGGAGGAATTTTTCTGATCTTTAAAAAACTCCTAACACTGTATTTTAAATGCAATAAAGCACATGTATAAGAAGATTGTTCAATGAACATTTAATGCATCGCATTGAGTTAGGTCCCTGACATCATGCTGGTGACTCACAAATCTTTAAGCTACTAAATTATAATACATTTTGTTTATTTTTCTGATTTCTATATGTTCACGGTACAATTTTTGTATCAAGTAATGTATTGAGCAAATCAAGAAAGGTTTTTTTTCTTCTGAAGCTGATTTTTTTAATGTGCTTTATTGACATAATCCAAACCTGTGATGCTTGCCATTAAATTAAAGGCATGAACAACAAGATTATAAGAAACATTGTCTTGATTACAACAAAAGCTGGAATAGTTTACTCATTCAATTATGTGAGTTTTTCAAAGTTTTACAGAAAGAATATATAAGATGTAAATGATGGTGGGAAATTTCTTGTTGACATATAGTCTGCAGAGAAGGAACCACAAGACACATATCTAAATGCTTCTATAGCTGAACGAAGGCTTTACATGTCAGAAATGTTTGTGTTTTCAAATACACACCTTTTGAAGATCTTGGCATGGATTAGCTAAGATCTATTATATATGTCAAGTTGAAGGCAAACTTTATGTTGGAAAGAATATGCTGAAATTCCACAAAGATCTTGAAATTATTGTGCAAATGTGATTGAGGTTCCACAGATTCCAGTTATCTTCTTTCCCATGAGATTTTGGAAAGTAATTTTATTTAATTAGATTTCTGATTTAGGCAATTTCAAAATGCACTTGAATAGTATATTTAAGATTTTCTTTGCATCACAATACTAGAAATTTAATTAAAAAATAAAATCAGATTTTTTTATGCATTAATTTTTCCGGGAGGTTGAGACTCCATGCAAGGTAGCAAACATTACCAAAACAAGTCTTATTGAATGTTATACTAGTTCTTTGAGGAGACAAAAGTCACTCAATATATCTTTTTATCTTTTGGAAGCTGCTTTTAAAATGTGTATTGCTCTCATCCCATGGCATACAATTATGACTTTAGAGTAACTGCAACTTCAGTTAGCAAATCAAATACATTTTTACATGCATTTTTACAAAGCAAAACATTACATTTTAACAAGGCAAATACATGTATACATACATATACTGAAACCTGTCATCTAACAAACACCAGCCATTTTCTCAAAGTGCAGTTCTGGCGAAAACCCTTTTTACCTGATTACCAGGCCATCATAAAATCTTATGATGTGAGTAATGTCTGCAATATCCTTAATCTCATCTTTAAAGGCGCTTTAGCTTTCAGGAAATTATATATACAGCATGACTTTAGTTGTCAAAGTGCTATCTGCTTTTGTAGAGAGCTGACATTAACTCAGGTTTCCCTTGGTTATTTCAGTTTTGCTACAACCAGTTCTGCCCCCTGGGCACTGGGCTGTACCTCAGTCCTCAGGTGCATCGCCTTTGCTGGACCATGTCACCTCTGCCAGACTCAGTGGCCTTGGAAGTGTCTCCAGCTGTAGTGACCTCCTTCTCCGATGCCAGCAGCAACTGCAATCTCTAAAACATCTGTCAGGCCACCTGCCTGACTGCCAGGAATAAAGCACACCCCGACAACATACAAGGAAGGTTTAAGGGAATGCTGTGCAGAGATTCCTAAACAGCACAGAGAACTCAGTGATAGCCAGAAATATCCAGCTACTTATTACCAAGGTTGAGTGCAGTTCAAAGAGCATACTGGGAACGAGCAATTTTTAGAGTGGATGTGTCAGGATTTGCTGGGGATTCTCAGGGAAATCCAAATCCAGAGGTGGCAGGAGAACAGCAGGTCTCCCCTCGCTCAGCTGATTTGCATTCCTAAGCCGATGCCAGTCGGGAGGGAGCGATATCAGTGAGCAGAGTGCTTGGCAGTGGCATAAGAGGAGCGGCTGCGCATTTGTGGTGCATCACTGCAGCTCTTTGGGAAGGTGGGTTGGTGTCAAGCACTTTTCAGTGTATCCTGCCTTGGACGTGAAAGCCAGTCTGGGTTAGAGCCCTTCCCTCTGGCAGCAGTGCACGGAGCTGAGGTGAAGGGTTTGTCTGGAGAACACCTGCGCTGCTGCTCTGCCGGTGCTGGCATACAATGGGCTTGTGGGCTTCTTCTGTTGGTCATTGTGAAGCTGAACGTTTCAGGCTTTCTCCTGACTTCCTCAGCACTGTTCAGCTGGAAGGCGAGGGAAGCTGCAGCATAAGCCATGCATGCCTTCCTTTCTTGGATGCAACTGCCATAAACAAACAAGAGGTGTGAAAAGCATGGTGCTATCTGCGGAAAATGATGACATGCTGTTCAAAAAATGGTGGGCCCTGTGAATGTTCTGTTTTCCAAAACAAAATCCTACTGACTAAAAAAAATGTTACAGATGCAAAAGTGTGTATGAAATGAAAGAATAATTGCTAGCATGGATTCATAATTTTATTATGAAATAACTTCAACTACCATTATCTTGTCTGAAAGACCTACTGCTGTCTCTGATTTAGATACTCATATTTAGGTTTTTTTCTTTCCTTTGCCTGGTTTTTAAAATTTTCTTCATTACTGG